AGCCCCTCTGGCTAATTCCAATGTGATATGTGTATATTTATATATGGGACTTTGTGTGGTTATGGATTGAGATGAAGCGTAAAATATCAAGGCTAAGCAAGTAATTAGTGGGGGTGGTCAGGTTGAGAAGACCCTAGAGTGAAGTTATCTTAACTCAAATGGCCCATTAAGACTACCTGGGAACAAAAGCACATGCAATTTTCTCAAGTTTTTGCTAACAAACACTTTAATTATATGTCTTTCGTCTTGTCAAAGCAACCAGTGATGATGACACACACACACGACGCTTTCTATATCTAGAACGCTAACACCCCCCCCCAAAAAAAAATCATCCTTTTAATCCTACTCATGTTCCCCCTTAATTGCCCAACCCAGTGCTTTAAGCAAGTTTAAAGCATTAATTAAGTGTGATTAGGGAGAGATCTCGATGGCACATTTCAATTATCAAAAAGCATTTAATTTGTCTGGCTGAAATATTCTCCAGGCACGAATAATTACATGTTTTGTAGTGGGCAAGTGCGGGTCAACTTTATCGTCACAATAACATAATTACTTTCAAATTTGGGAAGGAACTGTTGGAGATTCTGAGCCCCAAGAGTCGAGCCTTCTCAATCAATTTTCATCGCAACCACGGGTCTTTTCAAAATCAAGTGGTACTTCTTTGTTAAATTATTATAAAATAAATTAAAAGAGATTGATGGGTCTTTCTATTTTCCCATTTGCGCGCGTTTGTTGTCCCTGTGGAATTAATTTTTTTATTTATTTATTGGGATGCGTCAGTTTTTAGTCTTTAGAAGGCCAAAACAAACAGAAACCAATCGTTGTGCCAAACATGGGCCTTCAATAAGAGGTATTTTCTTTGTCTCCTTGGATCACCAGCCCATTATTTTGTGGGCCCACTTATCTGTTTCGGTATAGGCTAATCTTGTACGTTTGTGGGCCTGACTTATCCAGATTCGATCCAAAAAATATTTGGGCCTTATGGGTCTACGTAGGCTCCGATCTCAAGTCCGTGAGTTGGGCTTACGTGTCTTAATGAGATGTCCCCATTGAATGATTCAGGCCGGCAAAGTCGGCCCAATCAAGGGAACTGAGCTTGCCTCCTAATTATCATCTCACCAACCACCCAATGCAGTCGCCAAAAAGGCAAAGTGGATCAACACAGAGCTTTATTCTTTGATGGAGATTTGGAACCTTTTTTTTTTTTTAAGAAAAAATAATAATTATCTTCGCTCCTGATTAATTCTTTTCCCCCTTTTGTGGTAAAGAACAATTTAGATATACAGGAAACCAATCCGAACATTCATTTCAACCTCACAGTTGACAGCTTGACATGCTGCTCTTTCTTTTTACCCAGGAGGGGAAAAAAAGGATAAAAATGAGAAAAAATAATAATAAATTTTATGTTTTTTTATCACTTTTTTATTTTATTTTTTAGAATTGATTCGTTAAAATTTTCCTTCTCCTTGTCTCTCCTATATTTCCCTCGTGCCAACAAGGCCTTAAATTCAATTGATAACGCGTGGAGAAAAGAATCAAATAAAGAACGGTTGAGCTCACTTGGGATGTAATTTTCTTTCATATGGAAGACCTGACATCTACCGCATAAAAAATGGAAAACTAACTGACGCCAATATAGAACGAACGATCAGTAACATTTTAAAAAGGCAGAAAGGCTTTGAAATGACTTGACGCAATATCACTGTCATTGGAGGGACTCATTTGAAATAATAATATGAAGATAGGAGCAATTGGGAAGACGCAAACGTGGAGCAAACATGGCCAAATGGGGTCGTCGTCACTTCGAGTAATTAGTAATTACGCTGATCTTCTTTAACATTCCACGCTTGACTTATCTCCTCGACCTTTCGGGCCGCTTCTAATCATCATCATCATCGCTCTTGTGAACGCCCCTTTGATTGAATTATGGCTCGTTGATGGCAACAACTAATAATGATGCAGTGTAAAGAATAGCTTTTTTTTTTTGCCCTGAAAAAAAGGACAACAAATAAAAAAATGATAATTAAATGATAGGACTCCAAGTCAGCACATTAACGCACCAGAGGAGAAATAGGGAGAATGGAGTAGTGGTTGAGTCTGTTTGCATCTTTTTAGGAGAGTTGAATGAGTCTTTTAGGTTTTATTGATTTTATTAATGATTTATTAATTGAATAAGGGGACTTTAGGTTGTTAGAGGTCCATCAACGTCTCTTTCTGTTAGTTCCAAGATATTAGGGATATTTACTTAATTCTTATATTTATTCAATTGTAATTTCTGCATTATAAATATGTTAGCCATCCTATAAGCTAACATATGAGAGAAATAAATATTTGTTCAGTAATTTGGAGATTCTCCTTCTGGCTACTAAATCTAGTTAAGTGAGATCCTTGCTTAAGTAAATTTTAGTAGATTTTATCCCGGCTATTAGTGAGTTGAGAGTGAGATTCTTGCCTCAACCCTCTACTAGATTATATTTCAGTTTTTTTTATTCACTTAATTATCTAGCCATTTGGGTTCTACCAAATTGGCATCAGAGCCATGGTTGAGACTAGATCATCCCGCATTCCCAACCACCTGAAAATCCTGAAAATCCTTTAGTAGGAGATAGTGATCCTTTGACCACAATTGCTGCGCGACTGGAAAAATTGAAGCATTAGCTAATAGAGTAGCCAATTTGGAGGTTGCATCTGAAAGAAGTCGAAGAGGAAACCAACGTTCTCATTGGGAAGCTGACAGTGAGGACGACCCTGAAGCATCTTATAGGCGCCGAATGCCTTACACAAAAATTGAATTCCCAAGTTTAGCGGTGGGGATCCGCGAGGTTGGATATTGAAGGCAGAGAAATTTTAGGTACTATGACACCCCAGAAGATTTGAAAGTGGATGTGGCATCAATGTACTTGGAGGGAGACGTGCTTGATCTATTCTCTTGGATTAACAATGAACGCACGGTAGTGTATTGGGATGAACTTGTGAAGGCTCTTCAAGAAAACTATGGACCACCGGAATACCAAACCCAGATGAGTACCTTTGTAGCATTCGACAAACAGGGACGGTGTCGGAGTATCGTTCTGAATTTGCTCGCAGGTCCTCACGCGTCAAGAATTGGCCAGAGCATTGCTTGTTAGGTGTCTTTATCAATGGGCTCAAGGAAGAGTTGAAGGCGGATGTACGTATCCATAAGCCTAGAACTGTCTATCGAGCAACCAGTTTAGCATTAGAATATGAAACTAAGCTCCAAAAGGCTAATGGGCCTAAGACCAACATAGCCTCAGGAGTAACTCGCACTTTTTTTTTCCTATACCCAGCCAGCACAAGACACAAGCATCGCACAACCATCTTCATCTGCAATTCCAAAGCTCCTTCCACCGCCAACCCCAAACACATATTTGTCTCAGCACCCATCAGCAAAATCACCAGTTCCTCTACCTTGGAGTCTGAACGCCAGCGTCGCAAGGAGAAAGGGCTTTGCTATCGCTGTGGTGAAGTTTTCAAACCAGGGCACCGCTGCAACTCCTCTTTTTCTCTCCTAGAACTCATTGAAGAAGGAGAAGAAATTATCCTACCCTCAAAAGAAGATGTCAACAATATGGGAGATGGAGGGGAAGTTGAGGTTATGTTTAACGCCACGGTAGGGAAGGCAAATGCTGGAACCATGAAGCTCAAAGGTTTTATAATGGGCCGAGAGATTCTGATTTTAGTAGATAGTGGGTCTACTCACAATTTATATCAGAAGCATTAGTTTCTGATTTGTGTCTTCCTACTAGTGTGACGTCTTCATTTGGAGTTCAAACAGGAGATGGTAGAGTGGTAAAATGCAACCGTATTTGCACAGATTTAGAGGTAAAAATTTCTGATTTAGTTATTAAACAAGATTATTTCCCCTTCACTTTAAGTGGAATTGATCTTGTTCTGGGCATTAATGGCTGGCTTCATTGAATACCACCCAAACCAATTGGAACGAGATGTTCATGATTTTCTGGATAAATGGCAAAAAGTACAAGCTTCAGGGAGTTATTCCAGGGACCCATACTGCTGCCCAATTTCAAAGTCTGCTCTTATTAGAAATGCAAATGAATGGGAACCATCGGTCAAAGGCAAATCCAATGGATAAGGGAACAGTTCAAGTGGCTGCGCAAGTTCATCAATTACGACTTGAGGCAAGTCGTGTCTTCAAGGAGGGAGTATTGATAGGACTCCAAGTCAGCACATTAACGCACCAGAGGAGAAATAGGGAGAATGGAGTAGTGGTTGAGTCTGTTTGCATCTTTTTAGGAGAGTTGAATGAGTCTTTTAGGTTTTATTGATTTTATTAATGATTTATTAATTGAATAAGGGGACTTTAGGTTGTTAGAGGTCCATCAACGTCTCTTTCTGTTAGTTCCAAGATATTAGGGATATTTACTTAATTCTTATATTTATTCAATTGTAATTTCTGCATTATAAATATGTTAGCCATCCTATAAGCTAACATATGAGAGAAATAAATATTTGTTCAGTAATTTGGAGATTCTCCTTCTGGCTACTAAATCTAGTTAAGTGAGATCCTTGCTTAAGTAAATTTTAGTAGATTTTATCCCGGCTATTAGTGAGTTGAGAGTGAGATTCTTGCCTCAACCCTCTACTAGATTATATTTCAGTTTTTTTTTTTATTCACTTAATTATCTAGCCATTTGGGTTCTACCATAAAATCAGTATAATCTATTACATGTACAGCATAATGATGTGATGGGATCCTATAAATTACTGGTAAGTTGGGTATTAAGGATGATGAGGGGCCAATATTTGGACCGTTTTGATGGGGGGAGTCTGTGGATGCTTATCTGGTCCCCAACTTCTCCAATAAAGATTGTCACTTTGCCACAACCATAGGGTCGTCCTTTCAGATTTAATTGAAATAATTAATTCATTTTTAAGGAGAAAACTTTGTTGGCAGATTGATCCTTCTAAATCATTGAGACCATACTAGCTCATGTGGTACAGTCTGGGCAGACAACCGTGTTCCTGCTTTTTCCTCTTGACACTAGTTGTTCTTCTTCCTAAAGTTGTGCTGCCTTTCCTCCTTTTTTTTCCCTCGGGTTGTTGCCAACCTTGTTATTCCTTCCTTTCACTTTCCTTTTACTCTCCCAATCCCAACTTCTCTGCATCTCACACCCTCCTTTGCTCTTGGATTTCTTCGCCATGGCTACTCAAACTGTTGCCGCTGCTGATCATACTTCTGCTTCTGATGAGGTTTGATGTTTTTTTCCCTTTTCGAGTTCTTGAGCTCATACGATCGTCAAGTTTCATCATAACCAACTTTGATCAGTATTTCATTTATTTTCTTCACTATACTAATTAAGTTGGTAACTATAAACAAATTTTGCTGGTAGCTCTCTCTCCTCCTTACTTAGTTACTGATTTGTAGTTATTTCTTTCGAGAGGAAGAGTGAGGCTGCGTGAGGCAAATAGTTTTGGATGATCCTTATTGATAAGGAGATATCAGCAAGAATTATCCATTTCATTGTTGAAGTTGGGGTCTGAAAGATTCCGGCAACAAGTATATGTTCTTGCTCGTGAGAGAGAATAATAAGCTTTGCACTATAGATATAGGGATTAGGTGCAGAATAGAGAAGTGGGGATAAGTTCGAATAAAGCAATAACTAAAGGAAAGCCAACGAAGAAAATTCTGGGAGGTTTTCCTTCTTGTCCTTCTTCTCAACAGATTATTCCAACACAAAAGTATCAGACTAGTTAGCGTATCAGTTAGTATGATATTTCTTATCATTATTTTTATTTTTTCGGAACAGAGAATATTTGTGAGAAGAACTCATTAAAGAACACAATAGAACTCTACTGGTTTCATTTTCATAGACCTTCAAGAGCCACAGTCCGATTATGGAAAGGGAGAAAACAACAAATTCTGATTCCTGTGCTTTCCTGATTTGTCCACTAGCATCATACTTGTTACATATTCTACAAATTTCGAATTTATTGTGTTCCTATATAACTGTTGAAGTGTGTTTGCTCAGATTTAATAATAACTGGTTGCCCATCCTTGTTACAGCAAGTTGAGAAGAAGAAGAATGAAGAAGGCATTGGAGAGAAGACGGTTTCTTTGACAAATGAAAATGAAGACAAGCTTGACAAGACTAAAGATGCAGCTCCTCCTTTGTCTAAGACAGAAGAAGAAACTGAGAGAGAAGAGAAGAAGGTTGATGGTGAAGGAGCATTACAGGAATCTGTTGGAGACAATCTGAAGGAGCAAATTAAGGAGCTCCCCCCTCAATCACAACCCACAACAATAATCGAACCAGCCATAGATTCTGCAACAGAGCGTTTTGTGGATAAAGAAACAGAGAAAGAGAAGCAAGTAAAGGAAGAAGACATTCCTGAGGTGTCAGATGAAGTGAAGCAAGACGAACAGAAGCTCGTTCCTGATTCAGAGCCGATCAGTGTCAAGGAACCAGAAGCAGATCCTGCCGTTGGCAACCCTGAAGTGTCTAAGCCCGCAGAAGCTACTGAGAAGGAGACATCGCAGAGGCCGCAAACAGAGGAACAAGAAACTGCTAAGAAGGAAACACCACAGAAGCCACAAACAGAGGAAGAAGAGCAAATAAAGGAAGTGGCGGCTGAAAATACAGAGAAATCAAGTAATCACGCTGAGGTTAATCTTGCAAAAAATCGGATTTAGAGGAAGTGAAAGAGAATGAATATTCAGAAGTAAGTTTTGTCGCACCAACGCTGGGAAAATCAGAGGAAGCAGAGAAAGAAGAGGAGAAAAAGGAGGTGGAGCAACAAACGATAGTTTCAATTCCCGAACCTTCAGTTGAAACCATCGAAAAACCCAGCGACGTGACTGAGGAAAAAACAAGGGAAGTAGAAAATTCTGATGGAGAAGAAGTGAAACAGAGTAGCAACCACGAAGCAGGGCCTACAGAACCAGAAAAGCCAGAACCTGTGGTTACTGAAGTTGAGGATCAACCAAATGAACTAGAAAAGCAGTCCTTGGAGAAAGAACAAGAGGAGCGATCCGAGACGGTTGTCGATGAAAACGTAAAGAAAGAAGATTCTGAAGATACAATTGTAGTGGGACCTCGTAAAGAGTCAGAGGCTGTCAACACAGGGAAACCAGAACTTGGGTCTCTCCAGGTGGAGGAAAAGCTAAAAGAACTATTAGAATTTGAGAAGAAAGACAAGGACGTGGAGACTGAACAAGAGCTTGTATCTGGTGCAGTGGAGGAAAAGCCAAGAGAAGAGGATTCAAACGTAGAGGAGAAGAGTAAGGACGTGGTGACTGAGAGAAGAACTTGCGGGCAAGTCTGCGGCAACTAAGGAAACATCAGAGAAGGAACAAAAAATTGAAAAGGAAGAGGAAACGAGTGTCACCAGCAACACTGTACAAGTTACACCAAAAGAGGAAGCTAAAGTGGCAGCTGCAAATGTTGTGACAGCAGAAGAAGTTGCTGAAGAAGAGAAAGGTGACAAAGAGGAGGAAAGTAGTCTCACCACAACCACGAACACTACACCAGTTGTGTCCAAGGAGGAAACTGAAGTAGCCTCTGGGAAGGCGGTGGAATCTTCTTCTGCAACTGCAGAGAGAGTTGTTGAAGAAGAGAAAATTAACAAGGATGAGGGAATTAATGTCACGAAAAACACGCCAAACGATGCATTAAAGAAGGAAGCTGAAGCAGCTTCTGCAAATGGGGTGGAACCTTCTCCTTCTCCTGTGACCGCACAGAAAGTTGTTGAAGAAGAGAAAATTGACAAGGAGGAGGAAATTACTGTCAAAGGAGTCCCGGCACAAGTTATGTCCAAGGAGGAAGCTGAAAGAGGCTTTGAAGCTAATGGGCTGGAATCCTCTCCCGTGAATGCAGAGAAAGTTGTTGAAGAAAAGGGCAAGAAGGATGAGGTTGATGTGGCGTCAAAAGAAGTGGTAGGGGTTTCTGAAAATCCTCAGCAAATTTCTGTTAATCAGGAAACTAAAACCGATCAGGCAGAGGAAAAACATAACTCTGCTGCTCCTGGTGTGGTAGAAAGAAAGAAATAAAACGCGTCTGATGCTGTTGAAAAATTGTCAAGAGAAGCAGAAGTGGAAGTAAACAAGGTTGTGGAACAAAAGAATGAAGCAAAGGAAACAACAACTGAAGTAGAAGAAGAGGGTGTGAAAATGGTGAAAACCATAAAAGATAGTCAACCTGAAGCAGAAAAGGAAGAGAGTAAAGTGGATGATGGATCAACAGATGCAAGTGAGCCCGCGAGAGAAACTCTGGCATCTAAATTTGAAGAAGAAGAGGAATCTGGTGCCAAGAAAGAACAAGTTGATAAGCCTATGAAAACCGAGGCTCCAATTACGGAGGTTGCCGTCAAAGAAAGCGATACCACGAAAACAACCAAGGACCTTCCAAAAGAAACTATCACAAAATCTCAAAAGCAATCAAACAACATAATATCAAAGGTCAAACAGTCACTAGTTAAAGCAAAGAAGGCTCTCACTGGAAAATCTCCAAGCTCCAAGAATCTCACTGCAGGCACCAAAGGCGATATTAAAGTGAAATAACGCTATATGAGATGGATCAAGCATACTGGCAAAATCTACAGAGGCGTTGTATTTTTCTCAGGTTTGTGGTGACTAGCATAGTTGTTTTCTCTTGTTTTTGTTTGTAATTGCATTGAATGCAAAAGAGTGCGCCGAGTGTAGTGTACATAGAAGATCTATAGGCTTTGCTTTAGGCAGTGCTGGAAACTCTTGATTGTTTGTTTATGCGTTATTCATTTTGGGCATATGTATTGTTTGTGATTTTGATTGCTCTTAATAAGTTATTGGATCAATTTAAATTTGTTTATGCAAGGCTAGGAGCATATACGACCCAATAGAGGTTATTAGAAACTATATAATACTTTTCATCCTTAACATAAAAACTAGTTTTGATATTCAATTCAATTTTAAATACAAAATCTCAATCAATTTTGTTTCATATTTACCCTTCTTTTAAAGTAATCATTATAATAATTATATATGTTAACTGTTTTATTAAATGGTAATCTAACTAATATACATAATATGTAAAAAAAATTTTAAGAACGACAACTTATTTATTATAAATAATTAATTTAATTAATTTTTTTAATCTACTTAAATTGGTTAATGAGTTCTTATATTTAAAACTAAAGTTGCTATAATGGCAAAACTTGGGAGGCACAAGCTGATGTCTGATCTTGTTAGTTTATATAATTTAATTTAAGCACACAACGAGATGCTCTCGGTACAAAAGAAAATCCGACGCGCGTGGACTTCAAACTCCCCAAAAATGTATACAACTTAAATTTAGACAACTCTTTCTATCTTTTGGGAACTTGAATCCTCCGAGCAACCACATTTGTAACCTTCATCTGATTTGCGCAAACAGGATTTATGGAAATTGTGTGCGTGTAGTAGAGATGGTTCGAGTGACGCATGGAGATACAATAAATTTAAGCAATTACATGTCTATATACACAAGAATTTTTCAAACCCAATGGGGCATCGGTACGCGACAGTAAACGCATGAAAGAAAGCAAATCTTCAGTAAGTATTTGCCATACACACTAGAATAACCTTTATTTACCTGTGTTTCTACTTTCTAGAGCTAGGAAGGGGAAACAAAGATCGCCGTGGTCGATGATAACTATCATTATTTCATTCATTGATACAAAGAATCACAAGGAGAAATATGAATAAGATATTTTAGCGCATATTTCTACGCAGAATTTGAATTTTTGACACTGATTAAATCACGGAAGGTCACCAAATGAATGTACAAATAAGTGTCCTCACCCATAATGCCAATTTGTATTTTTGTCATCCTAAAGTCCGTTAACTAAGATTCTAGAGGGTCATCCTTGGTGACCACAGATATCCTATATGGTTGTGCAAGAGTTCAGTAACCCACGATCTTAGCGTCAGTCCTTACCTGTAAGAAAAGCAAAACAATAGGTTATTTAAACATGAAATTACAATTTTTACGAGCATTAAATAATGCAAATAATAACTTTTTCTCTGAAGGCTGCAAATATTTAAATGTTTTAAACTCATATTCTAAATTTTGTATTAGCGAAATTGTCTACATGGAGACTCCCCCTGTGTGTGGTGTGTGAAGAACTTGCATGATATATCATTTATAAGCCATGATCAATATATGTATATAATATTAAATTTTACATCATGCTTTATATTATTTTTTTACCCTCTTTTAATGACAAGAACATGATTAATATTACCGGCAATGGATTCCACCTAGATAAATAAATGAAGGGGCGCTCGCATGGTCGTAAGTCATAAAATTGAAAAATTGAAAGGACTAGATCTAGATGTGGATGTGTGTATGCGCTTCGTGACACTTACAAGATTTCTAATGACATGGTCATGTTCTTTGCTAGGGTTAGTAGCTCCACTGTCATTAATACTAGAGGTATGCCCGCCAGTACGCACTAGTGCTCTCTGATCAGTCCAGTTTCAACGTTCGTCGCTTCACACTAGCATTACAGTTGAAAGAAGAATATCAAAATGGGCAAGAGTATATAAGCTTGCTAAAAAGTGTTGTAGAAGTGGTAAACAATACATAAGAGTAGAGGTTTAAAACAGATGAATGATAGACAGATAGTAGTTGTCAGAATCTGCATATTTGTCAACTATTATGAGATTATGAAACAAGCTATTGTCTTCGAAACACAACAGTTATTTTTTCGTGAATAAAAATACTCACTCGAAGGTAATAATCCAAACGTCAAGCTAGAATAATTTGCTACCATTTTTCTAATGTTCCTTACAGTTCTCTTTTTTTTTTTTTTCCTCAGCCTCTAAAATCCGAATCCATGAATAAGAAGATGAGCA